TGGAGCTGCAATCTTAGCGCATATTTGGGTGTGAGGCGTAAAATGTCTGAGCACCAATTTTTATGCGTTTTTGCATATATGTAAATTGCAAAAAACGCATATTGGGAAGAGGCTGTCTGTGTGTGTGCGTGTGTCTGTGCGTGTGTCTGTGTGTCCGCACTTTTTGTCACCCACTTTCAACTCGAGACCCAGAAAAGTTAGAAAGCTGAAACTTTGGGGATATGTGCCCATACCATGCGCGACCCTCCCGTTTTAATTTCATCCCCTGTGGACGCCTAGGTGGCGCGTACGGACGCTTTAAAAAAATGTGCAAATTTTTTGGCGGGAAAGCGATCTCGGGAACCGCACGAGCTAAGGGGCTGAAATTTTGTAGGAACATTCCCTGTGCATGAACTAGCTGAAGATTTCAAATTCAGCCCCCAGGTATGCGTAGTACTCACGCAAGAGCGCTTGAAAGTTTTGGAGGGAAAATTGATAACTTGGGTACGAGGAAAACTAGAAAGCTGAAATTTTGGGGGAATGTTCTCTATCGAAGAACAGCTCAAATATTTCAGATTCAGTCCCCAGCTGTGCATGGTACTGACGTAAGGGCGTATGAAAGTTTTTGCAGGAAAATTAATAACTCGGCAGCCAGAAGAGCTGGAAGGCTGGAATTTTAGGGTGATGTTCCCTGTCCACATGCAATTCAAAAATTTCAAATTTAACTTTCCAGGTACGTAGGGAACCCACTTACGGGCACGTAAAATTTTTAGCGGGAAAATTGCCTACTCGGTATCCAGAAAAACTGGAAGGCAGAAATTTTGGGAGAATATGCTCTGTCCAAGTACAACCCAAATATTTCAAATTCAGCCCCAAGTTATGCGTGGTACTTACGTAAGAACTTAAGAAAGTTCCTGCGGGAAAATTACTAACTCGGCAGCTAGAAAAGCTGGAAGGCTGAAACTTTAGGGGGGATGTTCCCTGTCCAAGTACAACTTAAGTATTTCAAATTCAGCCTTGAGTTATGCGTGGTTTTTACGTATGGGCACTTAAAATTTTGGCTGAATTTCTGACTGAGCGACTAGGTTACTTTTAAGGAACGATCGTTAAATGGAAATTGTACATCTACTTTATGCAAAATTTATG